ATGGGATAAAACCCCCCCCCCCCCCCCCTCTTCATATTGCTTTACAAATTACAACCAAACTGGAAAAAGTCAGAGATCTATCTAATACTCTTAAACAAAATTGAGTTAAATACAGAAATAATAATTGAGATTGAAACCGCATAATTTGACTAAGTTTCCTGTATATTATGTTAATCCGAATTAATATTTTATGATATCTGTCCATCACCTAAAATTATGAAATTCTTCTTGCTAAAGTTCTATCGATACAACTTTTCAATTACATAGCGCTGGCAAGACTGAAGGATACAAAAGTATATCCTGCCTTGATGAAATTATGTTGCAACCGGATATATGCTCATCATCCACTTTTTCCATTCTCATATCCTGATTATAGAAAGGAAGTTAAACACAAATATTTTTGCTGAATTTTATTAATAAGGAGAGGGTGGTTGCTCTCATAAAATAATTAAAGCCACAAAATATATTTATAAATTGATGTTTAAAACTACAAGTTGTAGCATAAAAAGATTTCATGAATTTAGAAATAAAAGTAATTGGTGAAATAAAATTAATTCATTTTTTGCGAACAAAAAAACTTTTTATATAGACTAAAATACTAATTTGAATTTTTCCATGAGGAGTATAGAAAATTTAAGTTTACAAGTACTTACTTGTGAGTCAATATTTTATTTCTGAAGAAATACAGACTTGTTTGTCTAAGTTGTGACATAAATAGAATTTATAATCTAAGGATTCGATCTGAATCCTTTTAAAAAAAAATAAAAATTTGAATAGTGACTAATCTATTCTTAATATTAATGAGAATTAAGATTTTATATGATTGAAACATAAATTTGTATGTAAAATCTTCTTAACTGCAAGATGGGCACTATCTTAGCATAAATTGGTCAACGCAAAAGCATACTTGAACCTCAACTTTATTTAACCAACATGTGATATATTGCTATTCGTCTATCATTGAAATCCTTGATGATTAATAAATCCTCTCCATTTCCCCTTTTATAAATAGAATCCATTTTTATTCCTGATAATTCTTAAATATTGTCCTTAATTTCACTTACCAAATAATGCTATATTGCGAAAGGATGGGGTCTACCAATTCTAATACCACTTCATCTTTCACTAGCTGGATTGATTTTTTCCTAATACTTTCTTATTGTAATTAAAAATACATTTACAAAAATATCCTAATCAGTTTTCCTCTAATTTCTGATCCAATTTTCAATCTAATCTTAAAGAAACACAAGAGACTTATTTCTGCAGTGCTATTTTAATTAATCCTCTGAAATTACTCTCACGTCTTCTTTTTACTCCTCCGCATCAATAATTCTTGTTCTTTCCCCTAAAACTTTCAATTTATTTCTTCCAATTACTTGCATCTAATACCGCCTCTTTATACCTCTCCTATATTTCAAGAAATATCCAATTAGGACCTATACATCCATCAAAGATATAGCGATCCATTGTCATCAATCATAATTTATATGTACTCTAACTTCCATTATTCCCTCTGTGACTTTTAAGAGTTCCTTAGTATTAGAACACTCGATCTAGTAGTTAGAACTTTTTTGATGATAGATTAAATCTTTAGTTTACAAGAGATTTAAAAATATTTTCATTACCCACATTTTGTGACCTCCAGGTCCTAAAACTTTATGTGTAGCCTTCCTCTGATTCAATCTTCCTTTCCTTCATAATTTCCTCTTAATATTCTCTAGAACCTCATTGGGTTAATCATCTACCCAGCATTCCATCATTCTTTTTAAAATTCCTTCATTATTCTTATCCTGAGCTTTCCCTTCATTGGATACTCAGAAGAAATTTCTTAACGTCTTAAGTTCCTTGGAAAATATCCTCTGGCCATGATATTTAAATTTTATTGTTACATTTTATCAAGATATCATAACAGTTTCGTATAAAGAGAGCAATTAAATTAAAAATCTTTATAAGATAAGAATTTGGAACAACTATCTAAAGCATAATATATACTTAAAACAAGAAGTTTCTTCGAATAACAATGAGTCGCTTTGGACATTATATTTTGCAGGAGAAAAGAATTAGCTAAGGAATAGAAAAATTAACTGATAAGAGTTGAGGCATAATTAGTATTAAGCTTACGATAATTCCCAAGATTTCATTAATTGAGACCTCATCAATGTAAACATCAAAAACGTTTGGACTAACAAGATGCCACTTTTTTTTTTTGAGTAAATTATATTCTAGATGAATTTGTTTGTGCACTTTTAGGCAAATAGGAAGTCTAACTTTATGAGGATACTTTATTAGGTTTATTTAATGACACCATTTCAACTTTATATCATAAATTTATGGTACTCCTAACAGTATTCATAATTAAGATCTTCATGGCAAACTCAACTTAAGCTGACTCAATCCTAACTGTCGCTATTTTCTTTTTTTATTTACAGACTTTCACTCTTCAAATTTATCAATTGTCTTTGCAATAATGATTTCTGTTTTCGCTTAGGCGATTTTAGAAGAAAGATCATAAGTTCCAATGATTAGAACCAAATCCAACGACACTGAAACTAAATTTTATAGCTGTTTTTTTGGTATTCATGTAAAGAAACATTCTATATTCTATGATAGCCCTTTAGTGATATAATAGCATGAAATGCTTAAAAGGGAGAAATCGTTTACTTTTATTTACTTTTTCATTCAAAAGTTTTGTCTTGTAATACATCCTCCTTGAAACCAGATTGTAATAGTGCCCTTTAATTTATTAGAAGGGAATGAGAAGAAGTACTATGCTCTAAAATGCTATCAATAACACAGCAAGTATGTACAACATATATATTTAATATGAAACAGTACCAGCATCACAATTGCTAAATTTCTTTCTGAATTATAATCCTAACCCATATTAAATAAAATTCAGGGAAAAGTAAGCCATTTATAAACAATATACAGGTTGATGAACAGTCTTCTCCAGTATAACCATCAGCACGTAACGTAGATATTGTTGAGTTTTTTGTGCTCCTTACATGAAGAGTTTCAATCTAACTGGAAGGAGTAATGGATCTCTCGTAGTTTAACGAAATGTAAAAGTTTTCATCACCAATTGCACTACATTTATTTGTTCCTCTTAGAGTTATTAATTAATTAGGTGTTGAGCAGCTTTGAGTTCTACCGATTAGATGAGTAATAAGGACTATTTGTAATTCCAAAAAAGTTGGCACAGTCTAAATTTACCCCTGATAAAAATCTATTAACACCATGACCAATAAAGTCATCACTAAATAATCCCTTTAGCAACCAACCTGAGTATCAGTATAAGATTTGAAATTTCAAATATGATGAAAAATATCAATTCTAGCTATCTAAACTTGGTAATAGGGAATGCCAAAATAATTAGAAATTAATACTCAGTTTATACTAGATAAATGTCAAGAGACATAGCTGATTTCTATCCATAAATTAAGCATTTGCATTTTTCTATTAATATTAATTCTATAATTACCAGCAATGGCAAAACTTTAAAAATCAAATATATTTGGACAAAGATTTGAGTAATGATTAATGTTGGTATATATAACTTCTTTCACACAACTTATGAAGTACATTAGAGAATGTAGTTGCTTTAATAAGCCCAAATTACAGAACATCCATATTTACAGATCATGTCAAGCAAATATTATGTCACCAGTAAAGCCACACAATATTAACAACTATATTTGTCACTCCATTAGGGTAAAGGAGGATATACCAATCATGAAATATAGATTAATTTGATGATCACAACAATTATACTATATAAATAAATATCTATAGAATGATTAAATTTTTTTGTGTGTCATCATAGTGTCCATCAAAACAGCATTCAAAGTAACCAGCCGTATTAAAGCATGCAATATAATATTTAAATTCAACTGACGTGTTAAACATCTTAATTCAATGATATTGCTTGAACTAAAAGGTTTCTTGTGTTACACCTATTTATTTCAGTATTATACTAAAGTACAAATTTAAGGAATAGCATTGAGCAAATTAAATAGTATGATATTAAATATAGTACACAAGCAGGATATGGTGATGTATGACATAAATGTTTACATTGAACAAGTAAATATGCATATTTACATGGATTATTTAATACAATTATGAATGCATTTATTTTCAGCTGCTATCAAATAGTTCAAGCAACTACAGAGAAAATATCTGTCCTGATTATAAAGCATGCGTTTACTTTGATCATGCTTGTAAGAAGAAAATTTATCCATTTAGAGCACATAGAAAGCAGTAGCTCAAAAGTACGAAGTATAATTCGTAGGATCAGAGTTCAATCAATTAGAAGGATCAGCACTTAAATGACAACAGACGTGCATTTTCTTACAAGGTAGTTTTTGCATGTTAACACAAGGAACACAAAGAACCAAATGTTTAGGATTTGCTAGAAAATCTTATGGAGTTCATCTAAACAATTATGCATTAGTCACAGAATCTTTGTAGGCTTTGCACGATCCAGAGGAATCTAATTATATATTGTTAAGGAAGCATAAGAAAGGGTTATAGTGCTGTAGTACCAAAGTGAGCTTAAGAACACGTCAGATTTTGCATCAAAAGAATCGGACATGCTCGAATCTTTATCATAAGAAATGTGATAATATCTTTAATTATTAGATGAATAGTATGAGCACATTAAGCAAAGTAAGTATAACTGAAAGCAGTTCTAGTACATTCTTAGGGGATGAATAACGCATCTTTAAGTTAACAAGAAAACTAAAAGTATAGTGCCTCTCATTAATTAAGATTCAGTGTTGTAGTATCTCAAGTCCAATAATTATAGTAAATAAATAGTAAAATAAAAACATAGAGTCCCTTTGGACTCTAACTACTAATGCACAAAGAAGAAAAGTTGAAATAATAACAATCAGCAATAGGGGAGGCGTATTTGGAGTTTACATTCAAAGTAGTAGGCAGATTTTCAGTAAGTATATGGCAGTATATTTATTAGTTGTTGCAAAAAATAGTTGTAGTAAATATATGTCGTTGTAACCCAATATGCATTGATTCACTCATGCATGAAAAGTAAACCTAAAAATAAGGATGAGAAGAAGTCGCCGCTTATGCTTGATATGGATTGATAGAGGTTTCAATGCATCTTCATTAATTGAAATTGTATGAGTATTATTAACAATTAATATTTTGACATTTCCTATAATCCTACACAATACCGTATAGAATAGAAACCTAAAGTTGCATCACTAATTGTTTTTAATATGGCTGAATTTCATGAAATCTAGTTTTGAAAAAAACTTGGACAGATAAATCATGAATATAGGCATTTAGCATTGAACACAAAAGTGGATGATTATCTATCATGTAAACTACTCATACTAGAAGCTCCTTAAAAATTAAATCCTCAAAAAAAAAGATAGTTTATCAAATCCAGTAAAGGGGATTATTAAAAATTTTAAATTTGAAGACTTAGGTCGTTAATTATCTTTATGATAAACAATTTTTCGATAATCAACCTCTCAATGAAGTGAGAAATTTATTTGAATAGAAAAAAAACTTCAAAGTAGACTCATGCTTATTATTAATCATTCTGGCGGTGTTCTATTAAATATCTCTAGTCATNGCATGCGTTTACTTTGATCATGCTTGTAAGAAGAAAATTTATCCATTTAGAGCACATAGAAAGCAGTAGCTCAAAAGTACGAAGTATAATTCGTAGGATCAGAGTTCAATCAATTAGAAGGATCAGCACTTAAATGACAACAGACGTGCATTTTCTTACAAGGTAGTTTTTGCATGTTAACACAAGGAACACAAAGAACCAAATGTTTAGGATTTGCTAGAAAATCTTATGGAGTTCATCTAAACAATTATGCATTAGTCACAGAATCTTTGTAGGCTTTGCACGATCCAGAGGAATCTAATTATATATTGTTAAGGAAGCATAAGAAAGGGTTATAGTGCTGTAGTACCAAAGTGAGCTTAAGAACACGTCAGATTTTGCATCAAAAGAATCGGACATGCTCGAATCTTTATCATAAGAAATGTGATAATATCTTTAATTATTAGATGAATAGTATGAGCACATTAAGCAAAGTAAGTATAACTGAAAGCAGTTCTAGTACATTCTTAGGGGATGAATAACGCATCTTTAAGTTAACAAGAAAACTAAAAGTATAGTGCCTCTCATTAATTAAGATTCAGTGTTGTAGTATCTCAAGTCCAATAATTATAGTAAATAAATAGTAAAATAAAAACATAGAGTCCCTTTGGACTCTAACTACTAATGCACAAAGAAGAAAAGTTGAAATAATAACAATCAGCAATAGGGGAGGCGTATTTGGAGTTTACATTCAAAGTAGTAGGCAGATTTTCAGTAAGTATATGGCAGTATATTTATTAGTTGTTGCAAAAAATAGTTGTAGTAAATATATGTCGTTGTAACCCAATATGCATTGATTCACTCATGCATGAAAAGTAAACCTAAAAATAAGGATGAGAAGAAGTCGCCGCTTATGCTTGATATGGATTGATAGAGGTTTCAATGCATCTTCATTAATTGAAATTGTATGAGTATTATTAACAATTAATATTTTGACATTTCCTATAATCCTACACAATACCGTATAGAATAGAAACCTAAAGTTGCATCACTAATTGTTTTTAATATGGCTGAATTTCATGAAATCTAGTTTTGAAAAAAACTTGGACAGATAAATCATGAATATAGGCATTTAGCATTGAACACAAAAGTGGATGATTATCTATCATGTAAACTACTCATACTAGAAGCTCCTTAAAAATTAAATCCTCAAAAAAAAAGATAGTTTATCAAATCCAGTAAAGGGGATTATTAAAAATTTTAAATTTGAAGACTTAGGTCGTTAATTATCTTTATGATAAACAATTTTTCGATAATCAACCTCTCAATGAAGTGAGAAATTTATTTGAATAGAAAAAAAACTTCAAAGTAGACTCATGCTTATTATTAATCATTCTGGCGGTGTTCTATTAAATATCTCTAGTCATCTATAATCACTATTGCTTTGACAACTGTAATCCTTAACTACAACTGTAGTATTTTTATGACTACATGGTGCACCTGTATTCATAATAAAAATGAGGTACATGAGATCAATCTTGTAAACGATTTACTTATTTTTCGTATATATATATATTTCTGCTTCAATGGATTGTAATGACATAAAGAATCACATGATCATGCCTGTTTCGACAGCTTATAAGATTCTTCTATCAATAAAATTAAAGATTGCCTTGAAGTGTCAAAGGAAGCACTAGTTCTCATGAGAATAGTACTGCCACAGAGAGTTGTCAGATAAGGAACGTCCTCAAAAAGTGTAAGCTGTTAGAACAATTGTTCCTAGCAATGTCCCTTAAATTTTCCTTTTTTAGCAATTTATATTAAAAAATAAATTAAAAATCTTAGCAAAAATGAATATCTCTTTTATCATAAATTACATTATCAAAATTTCAAACAGGAAGTAAATCAATATCAATCAAGATATTTACTATTAAAAATTCTATATTGATTTTAGTTAATCATTATAAGTACACATTTTAATAATATATACATTTACGTTTTTTAATTTTAAAAAATTAACTAAGAAAACGAAGTTCCATTGCTAATTAAATAAATATAAAAAGGAAGTACAAGTATCTTGTTATTTTTTTGTTTGTTATTCACAAAGATTTGCCACTCCAAAGCAAATTTTTAGTTTGGTTTAACAATTTGTACAACTTTAATTTATCAATATGAACTTCATGTGAAAATATTATCTCTTCATTTCTAATATTGTTGCACTGCCTCCATAATCATAATTATCTTTAATGAAATTGTTGGTATTGATACTAATATATATCCCTTTTATTTATTCAATGTTTGTAGAAATTATAGGAAAGTAACTAATATAAAATAAATTAAAATTTTTTAAATGATTGAGATTTGATCAGAATTAGCAATCACATATAAAGATTTTATAGTTACGATGCTGATTTTGGATTTACTTAAGAAAATAAATTATTCTTTTAATATTCGTTTCATAGATGAATATTAAGATACACTGTTGAACCTCAATCCAAACCATTTTCATTACATTTTAATTAGCATATAAAATTGATTTTATTTAAAAACTTAATTTTTTTAAATTCATTACCTATTCTCTATAATTTTAATTTAAGCAAATCTTATAGTAATGAAGACTTATTTTCTCCTTATTAAAATATAATCTTGTCTTTACAATAAGGTTCTGATTTCTAGGCAAATAATTTGAATTCATAATAATTCTTTTTTACCTACTGTCTCTATAGAAAAGTCTTAAAAATGAAAAATTAGATAATCAATACCAAGAAGCTATTGTTATTAAGTATCATAAATTATCTTTAATCGGAAAAAAAGGTAAATTACTCAGTATGTAGGCAAGTAAATAAAACTCGAATTTATTTCCACAATATTTGAATCATCCATCAATAAAAATTTAATTGTATTCTGTTCAATGTTATTAATGTAACTTTAAAGAAATATATTGGTTGTAAGAATTATTTTTTGATTTTCTGGTGATATCATACATTATCAACATAAAACAAAATCTTGGTTCATAAATCAACAATCTAAATTTTTTTTATCTCCTAAAGTTTTCATCAAAAGAAAATCAAGAATAGGGTAGAAGGTTTAAAAATAAATGAACCTGAATTTTATAATTTACAGGATATATTTTTATAATTTACAACATTAACTTCATAGCTATATTAAAAAATACTTCCATGCTAAATTGTTTCTTTATTTGATCATTTATTGCTTACTTTTTTTCTAATTCCTCTAAAGTTTGAATTCATCACTTAGATTAAATAACCTCTCTTAAATTCTCAATACTCTTAGGTAAAAATCATGAATAGGATTATTAAAATAATAGATGAGCTTTTGTTTCATTCTGAGTTTGATAATTATTTATGCAAAATAATTTTCTTGTTTGATTTTGTGCTTTATAAAATAACACTTATTAAATAGATCACTGATTCTATGCTGTCACATTATAATTCTTTAATAGAACTGAAAAAGATCCTTTAATTACTAAAAAGGATTAAAGATCATGGACATGAATTATTAGCCCTAAATTATTTTCATTTATACTTCTTAACATTGAAAGGATCATGAATTTACAGGGTTGAGAATTAAGTACATTTTATGTTGATTATGAAAATATATAATGAGATGACTTTTGATTCGAATAAAGATTAATAAACTTAGATAAGTATTTGGAATTAATAAAAATTGGAATAGTTTTGGAGTGTTTGTTTAAATATAAACTCATTCATATTAAATTGAGAATAAAAATATAAAAAGATAATATAATTATTGGATAAAATGAAATTAGCAAATAAATCAAATACCTTTTGGTTTGACCTTACGAATTCATTTAACCTCTCCTTTGATAAGATTGAAATCAATATGAGAAATTTTATATTTCCCCTGCTATAAATTAATTGTCGATCTAAATATTTATAATCAGAAAATTATTAATTTATATATTTGATGATAGCCCTTTTTTTCTTTCAATAAAACTTAATGATATTCAAGAAGTACCATTTTTGTTATATAGATTTCTTTTGGTTTCTAATCAGAATCATACTCAACCATCATTTACAATTTAAATAATTTTATATATCAAATGTTCTTGGTTTAATTGAGAGTATGAATATTATATAAATCATGGTGCTAATTATAAAAAAAATATCGATAGGCTATTAAGGCCCAATCCAAAATATTCATTCGTTATTATATCCGGTTTCAAAATTATTTTTCGTTTAACCTTTAATCTAACATAAGACACTGATATATTTCTAGTTAACCTCTAAACCTAATTATTAAATTGATTTAGCGTAAGAATGTTGGGTTCCCTTTATTGAAGTTTTAATAATCAAAATTTAAATGAAGAAAATTTTATTTTTTTTTAAGTCTTACTTCACATTTTAGAATCACAATATCGTTTACAAGTTAACAGAAATTGAGAACAAAACACCCCATTACAAGAATCAAACTAACAGCTTTTTCTCTTTAAATTTAATTTCTTGTATTAATATATAATATAGCTTATGTGTGATAGAATGAGAGAAATTTTGGGGTATATTGAAAATTTGATATTATTTAATTCATGATAAATCTCATGAAGAGGATAGAGCTTCTTGATATTAAAAATTTATATTCTAATTTAGATGATAAAATTTTAGAATTAAGAAGTAATGAGTAATATAGCAATAAAGGAATATGTTAAACATAATCAATTTTTTGATGTATCAAAATTTATGGAAGGAAGTAGTTGTTTTAAGTAGAGATAATAAAATTCCATTAGCATGGCTTCTAATCTAAGATTATGATACAATAAACAAAGAATAAGTTTTCTATTAACTAAGATTGGAGTAAGGCTTTATCTATAATGTAAATTTGAAACTTCTATCCTCTGATCTAAAGGCTTCTAAGTTGATAAACTGAATAAATCAGTTCAAACTCAAAATTCATAGTCTAAATTAAAATAGTACTTGAATAGAGCTTTCTAATAGTATGTTAAAAGATGAGTAGCTACTTAAATTGATAATTTCAAATCTTCAGTTTGTGCAAAAACAACATGCATTTTGTACTTATTTTTTTGATCAATATTAATGATGGATAAATTGAAAAATGATTGAGAAAGGAAATACCAGCATAACATGCTTTGTTACTTTTTGTGAGCAGAACCATATAATTTTAGTATTTCTTCTAAACTCCAAATTCTTACTGCAAATATTTTTTAAAAGACCACTTTATGATAACGAAAATTTTATATAAAATTTTTATAATATTAGAAAAAACGGATTTTTGCAATATAGAGAATATATCAAAAAGTTCATTTCAGATTACAATTTTCCTCTTGTACTTACTAAATGAAATTTGATTGTATTGTTTTCTTTCCAGTTATTAGAGAAAACTGTTTGAAGTAATAAAAGAATTAGAAAGATGTTAAATGAAGGAAAAAGAAATTTTTAAGAATTCAAAAAAATTGGAGAAATAAAATAAAATTTATTGTAAGTATTTCTGAAAGTACTCAATCTTAATTATCATCATAATTGTGATTATGTGTTATTTGTGAATAGGTTTTAATATTTCTTCCTATTTTCTAAAAAATCCAGTTGTTAGTTACTCATACTTTTCAATCAAATTCTTTTCTTCAGTAGCTGTATTTTTTATAATCTCACTAAAGAACTAAATATATACAAATGAATCAAAAGATAACCCACCTAAAATGCCACAATTTTCTCTCATTACTTCATGTTTATACAGTAAATTTTCATCATTATTAGATACTGCTCTGCTAGGGATATTTTGTAGTTCTATTTAGAGAACTAATGGATAATACAATATTATATCAAAATTCAGCTAAGTTTAAGGTATATTTCTTAAGAAAGATTTTAAATATATTTATTATCACACTTAATTAATAATTAATTTATAAATAAGTATGTAAATCGTTTTAATTTAAGAATGTTCTTCTATTTATTTTGAGCGAACAACAAGCCTCAACATTAAAACAAACAAGTTGGAATATTTTATAAATTTATGATATTAGAATGTTTTAAGATTTTGTTTTTAAAAAGCATGAGTAGTTAGCCTTAAACTTATTGAAAAGTCTTTAATAATTATTTATTTTGATATGATTAGAAAGGATATTCAGTTATTTTTATTGATACTACAACTAGTGAATGGATTTAGAAGTCTGTCTAATACTTACAATAAAGCTAGTTATTTGGTTGAATGTAGAGGAGGACATTATCATGCTCCTGGGATGAACCCCCATCCTTGTGTTTGTATTTTATTCATGTGGATTTAGACTATAATTCTGCTTGTTCATCAGTCACAGAACCGAAAATGATCAAAGCGAATGGCAATGAAATGCTATGCCATCCGAGACTTCGACAATATATCGTCTGGCCATATCAATACTTTGAAGAGGTGCTATTCTGTTAGAACCAAGCCATAATTTATGAATATTCAGAGAGCACTGATTTAGTCCTTTCATGTTTATTTGTGGTTGATTCCTGTGCAATAGCTTAAAAGTCAGGAGACATCATTAAGTGCTAATACTGTAATGGCTATAGAACTGGTGAGAAATGTTAATAGCCAATTAGTACTTTAAATTAATATTTAGGTTGCGGAAGTAATTGTGCAAGTTGTGCAGCAAATTATTGTGAAACATGCAAGGAAGGGTTTTCTCAGTCAAGTAGCGCTGATCTATAGTGCAGTTTAGGTAAATAAAATTTAAATATAATAGCCTGCCAAACAGGACATTTAAGCTGTTCTAAGGTTGATGGAGTATATGCATTTGAAGGGTGTAAAAAAGGTTACGAGCTGATTGATAATTAATGTGTAGGTATTAATAATAATAAAGAACTCAAGCTTGTCCTCCTAAATGTACTAATTGTGTTATGGGTATTTGTTCTTAATGCGAATATCATTATCATTTAAAAGATAATTAATGCTTTGGAGACATTAATTGCACTAGATTAGACTATACTTATGATCCTAACACTGGACTGGCTATCGGGATGACTTGTTAAATTTGCGATTTTGGATATTTTTATAATACAACTCAACAAAAATGCACTCGTAATTAAATATCAATATTTTAAGTCTGTAAATAGTAACCTGGATTGGAAAAATGTTTGATTTGTTTTAATGCAACAGAATGCAAAATTTGTTTGGGAACACATGTTATAACTGCAGATAAGAAATGCATACCATTTGGAGGTTGCTCATCAAATTGTTAAACCTGCCTTAATACCGATCCTGATTACTGTACAACTTGCAATCTGAAGGAAAAATTTAAAACTTCCACAATCGAGCCGGGGAAATGTATTTGTGATTATCCAAATGGTTATGTTGACAAGGATGGTGAATGTGCAAAATGTTCTGATGGGTAATGTTAAACTTGTACGAGAGATTATTATGAATGCACATCTTGTAAACCTATTACAAATAGATCACTTTTTAATACTTAATGCATTTGCAAATAAGGATATTTTGAGACTGGTTAACCTGATTAAATATGTTAAAGTATTTGTAAATATAAATTAGAATGCCACTCTGATTGCTATAATTGTAAAGGACCTTATAATAATGATTGTACAGAATGTGGAGATCCAAGCATCTATTATAAATACATTGAAAACGGATCATGTTTTTGCTTAGAAAGAACATTTATGTAAATTTAATCTGATGGAAATAGCATTTGCAAACGTAATAAGATTACTAATTTTATTAGCTTGCCATTCTTTATGCTAAAAATGTTATTAGCCCTAAGATAGTACAACTAATCAATATTGCACTATGTGCATTGCAGGTCAACGTCGAGTTTTAACTGGTGATTACCGATGCATTTGTTAAGATGGATATGGAAGTGATGGAATCTCAGATAATTGCATAAGTGATTATATCAAATATAAGAATAGAGTGTCATTATTCGTGTAAGAGTTGTAATGGACCCCTTGAAACTGATTGCACTTAATGTTCCTCTGCTGCCCAGAGGTATTTGACATTCGAAAATAAATGTGCTTGCAATTAAGCCTATTATGACCCTGGATTCAAGGATCCAAATTGTTTATGTAATCTATACTTTCATTACTACAAAATAGTGTCCTGTCATCATTCTTGTACTAGCTGTACTGTTTTTGGTTAAGATTAATGCACTTCTTGTTCATCAACAAGACATGCTGATAGAGTTGGAGCTTCTTTTTAATGTCTTTGCAACGATTCACACTATTATAGTGATCCATTCTTTTTAGAATGTTAGCCATGTCATCTAACATGCAAAACTTGTAATGGCATTTATGAAACTAATTGTCTAACTTGTGACACTACTTATAGAGAATTAGTCATTTCAAAATGTAATTGCTACCCTGGTTATTACAGCATAGGCATTTTGTAGTGTTCATGTGAGTATTTAATAATTATATTAGAGTGCCATTTTACCTGTTTGTCTTGTTTTTCTTCAAATGAAGATGGTTGTATCACTTGCTCCTCTGCCAAAAATAGAGTAATGAAAGCAAACAAATGTGTCTGTAAAGAAAATACATTGTTAACATCAAATAACGATTCAATGTGTTCAAGTAAATTTTCCATTTAAATTTAGATTGCTCATATCGTTGTTCATCTTGCACTATAGCAATTGATAATTGCACCGCATGTCCTGATTAATCGTAACGGGATTTAGGAACTGATAATTCTTGTTAATGTCCAGCTTATTATTATGATGAACCTGGGAATCCTATTTGCATAAGTACTATTCTAACTTTAACTCTAGAGTGTCATCGTACTTGTTAGACTTGCCAAGGGTCATAAATTAATTAATGTACTTCTTGTAATCTTCTAAGTAAAAGAGAATTAAACGCCAATGGAGAATGCGTTTGTAAGAATAACTACTTTGATGCAGGAGTATAAGAATGTTAAAGTATCTAGTAATTATAATATTAATAGCTTGCAGCAGTGATTGTTTAGAATGCGCTACTACTCCTTCAAATTGCATATCTTGCAATCCAGATAGGTATTTGCTGGGAAACACCTGTTTATGCAAAACAAAACTTTAAGGAAGCTATTTAACTACATATCTAGTGCCATTAAAAAACCGATGTCAAAGTAAAGTGATTAAATTTATGCATAGGCTGCCATTATAGTTGTCTATCCTGCAGCGGCCCTTAAGCAAATTAATGTTTGTCTTGTTTAAATTCAGAATCAAGAACTATGATTGCTTCAAGCTGTGTATGTATAGAAAACTACTTTGATACCAGTGTCCCCATTTGTCAAAGTAATTAATTCCTTCATTTTTTAAGAATGCGATTTTCGATGTTAAGGATGTACATCATTGGCTACTTTATGTAAATCTTGCCCAGCAGGAAGCTTAAGAATATATAATTCTTCAAGTTCTACTTGTAATTGTCCTAGTTCATATTATGATGATGGGGTTAATCCTGTTTGTTAAAGTAGTATTTTATAATAACTTTAGAGTGCGATTACACTTGCTTGACATGTAAAATGATATCGAGTAGATGTGACACTTGTTAGGTAAACTCAAATAGAACCTATAATTCATTATTATTTTCTTGTCTTTGCGATGATCATTATTATGATTCTGGAACTCCTGTTTGTTAGTAATGTCATTATTCTTGTCTACTATGTAATGCTTTTGGGGCTGATTAATGTAAGAGCTGCTAAACATAAACAACTTCGTTAAGAATATTAAACGGAAATGTTTGCTAATGTCTCCCTGGATATTACGATGATGGATTTTCTGCAAATTGCTAAAAATGCTATGACAAATGTTTAAGCTGTATTAATTCTTCATCTTATTGCACATCTTGTGAGTAAACAAGGTATTTAGACTAAAATTAATGTCTATGCAGAGCTGGTTATTTTGATAACGGTGCAAGCAATTGTATAAAATGTGATTCAAAGTGTTACAAGTGCAATATCAATTCAACATAATGTACAGAATGTGATCCAAGTGGTTCAAGAATATTAAACACTAATAATAATACTTGTTAATGTAAACCAGGCACAACAGAAATAGATGGATTATGTTAAAATTGTGATTCGAATTGCTAGACATGTTCAAATGCTGCTACAAATTGTACATCTTGTGGTCTAATGAAATCACTAATTAACTCATAATGTAAATGTATAGATGGAACTTATTTGTCGAATGTAGATAATAAATGCTAGAATTGTAACCCTACTTGTGAAATTTGCGGTGGATTAGACTCATTTTGTTTGAGTTGTTCTTCAGATAAAAATAGGATTATCGATAATACAAATCACACTTGTATTTGTATGGCTGGATATTATGAAGATATGGTAAATATCTCTTGTTTGCAATGCGATCAAACATGTTTAACTTGCTTTGGTATTTCTTCATATTGCACAAAATGTGATTCAAATCTGAACCTAACGCTGAATTATTAAAATAGATGTGTTTGCAAATCAGGTTATTTTTTTAATCTCACTACTTAATAATGTTAAGGTATTATATTATAATCAATTTAAGGTTGTCATATTAGTTGCACAGAATGTTTGACTTTAACTTAATGCTTAACTTGTGAACTAATGACTCGATATTTTGAGAGCGATACATCAAAATGTTTATGCAAGGATGGCTATTATGAAGCTAATCAAAAATCATGTTTATGTACTAATTATGATGAAAACTTTAGAATGTCACAGCAGTTGTAAAACATGTTAGACTTAATCAAATAAATGTCTCTCTTGCGAAGAATCTAATTTAAGATACTTTTAAATGAATTTTTGTCCCTGTCTTGATGGATACTATGATGTTGGAATTGAAATGTGTCAAAAATGCAGTGACATTTGTAAGACTTGCTAAGAAAATTCAACCAAATGTTACTCATGTTACTCAAATCATCTTCGTGTGATAAATCAAAATACATGTACTTGCATTCCTGGATATTTTGATAATGGTTCATTAATATGTGAAAGTATTTAATTGATTAAATTAGAATGCTCAAATTCTTGTTAAACGTGCAAAAATTAGAAAGATTATTGTACTAGTTGTGATGTGAATTAAAATAGATTAGATCAATCTATCCTTCATAAATGTCCTTGCATCTCTGATTTTTATTAAGATTCTAATGAAATTTGTTAAAGTAGTTATTTTCTTTTAATAAAGAATGTCATATAAAATGCTCCGGATGTGTTAATGAGAGAAATAATTGTTTAAGCTGCAAATATTTATAAGGTTCCAACAGATTAACAATTTCAAATTAATGCAATTGTAAAGACGGATATTATGATGATGATATCCAGATTATCTGTAATAAATGTGATACCCGTTGCAAGACTTGTGAAAGAGATCCTAAAAATTGTCTTAAATGTTTTAGTAACTTAAGAATAAATCCTCCTGATTGTCAATGTATGAATGGCTACTTTGAAAATTAATATCTAACTTGTGAACGTAGCTATGTTTAATAAAAAATAAGCTTGCTAAATTTAATGTGATACATGTTAAACTATAGCCTCGAATTGTGTGACATGCAAAGTAGGGCGTATAAACAAATCATGTGATTGCGAAGATGGATATTTTGAAGGTGGTCAACCTTTATGCATATGTATAAATTGAATCAATATTGAAGAATGCGATTTTTAATGTTAAAAATGCAAAAATTATGCAACTAACTGCCTAAAATGTAAAGGTGATCGATTGGAGAGTCCACTTTGTCGATGTTCAGATGGATATTATGATGATTTCTAAAGCATAAATTGCTTGAAATGTGATTACACTTGTAAAACATGTACTTTGGATGGATGTCTATCGTGCAATGGAAACAGAATCTTATCATATCAAATGACGTGTGATCCTCCTCCTAATTCAATTAGCTCATTATTAACTCCTTGGTGCTCAAGTATAGTATTCCTAATATCAAAGATTGCGAAGTAGCTGTGATGAAAATTAAATTATCAGATGATCTGACAGCAATAATTGTACAATTTGATCTTCCCTTGAACCCAAATTTCTTTACAAGTTAGCTTGATAGCAATATTTGTTTTAACATCTTAGACCAGAACACTATATCTAAATTAGGAATAAATCCACAATGTGATATAGATCCTAATAATTAACAACAATTAATTTTGAGTCTCGGTCGCAATCCCACAATTATTCCAGGAGACTAAATTAATTTTTTGTAGGATTCATTTGGTCACAATAATTGTAATGGCAAACTGCAGCGTTTCGTTTTTAATAAACTAGAAAAACCCTCTAACCCATTAGCCCCTGTTATAAAATATAATGTACCTACATATCTCTTTAATCCTTGTGATGAGAACATCTTTTTGATAGAATAAAAACTTTATGATGGATTGAGAAGTTTCATCTCCATTTCGTGGTCATTTATAGTGTAGGGGGAAAATGGAAATGGTGGTCTTGTTAATTTGGTAACCGAATTAACAAATTTTCAATTACTGGATCTAACCATCCCAGAAAAAACCTTACCCATTTAGTCAAATATAACTTTATTTGTGGAAGTTCAAAATTTTGTTTTATAAAAAAATGTTTTTAAGATACTAATTCAAACACATGCTGGATAATTTCCTAGTATTTTTTCGAACCTTAAACAATATTATTATCCTTTTGAATCTATAAATCTGGCCTTCACCTTAAATAAGAAAGGGTGCATAGAAAATTCACAAATTTCAAAAGATACTTCTTAATATTAAATTAATTTTTATGAAATTTACAGAAACAATTCTAAATCTAGACCTTCAAATATCAATTATACTGAACTAATTAATTCTAATTAATTAGAATTTAATATTCAAAGCTATTCTTTAAGTGCATAAACAGCTTATACATTTCTATTAACAATAGCAGATTCTTCAATTTAATATTACTCCTAACAAAATGTAACTATTTAGATTACATCAGCTGGAATTCTCTGCTAATTTAATGGAACAAAGAAGTTGTAAAAATACTCAGATGTTACAAATATTTACATCTTCTGCAAAGATCTAGATGTTTAATATGATTGGAATCAAGACCCAAATTTGTCAATAAAGGTTAGTTGTTTAGATCTAACTTTATAAGATGAATGTAAAGATTTTTAATTGAAAACATTATAAATTAATTCTACCTAAACTAGTTAGATTTTTCCTAAAGCTACTTTCAAGCCATTCACAATTTAATCTTGGAAAGTAATTGCCAACAAAAATTAATTGTCGTACAATTATAAAATAACTATTGTATATTTAGAATATGACTTCAAGATCCTCGATATAGATTATAATAATGGATATTTGATAAGGCCAGTTAATACCTATGAAGATTTACAATTTACATTTAAAATACCGTTTTAAGATAGACAGTACCTTTTAGATTATTAAATAGTAATAATTTATGATTTTCAATTAATTTCAATACTTCGACCTCAATACTTTAAATATTCATTTTAGTTATACAATTACTATTAATAATTTAATAAAGGAAATAAATTTAATCTTAAATTTTTAGCTTAATATACTAACGATATCATTCCTTGCCAGACAGACTTAAGCTTAGTGTTAAATTAACCTCCAATTTGTAAATTTTAAATGCTGGAGTAGAATATCAAAGCTTTAGAACCTCATAAAATGGCAATTAATTGTGAATAATCAGAAGATAAACCATATCTTTATTAAATGAAGGTGTTTCTTTTTTAAGAAGACTTTGAAGAGTTTCAAAATAAAACATCAGATAATTCACTCCTTTTCTACAGCTTTTAACAATCGAATAATCTAATTGGGTATTTTCCTAATTCAGAAATCAATGTTATTTTTTAAATCATAGATTAACGAGGGTCTATGACAAATATCCAAAAAAGCCTAAATATCTCGCAAAATCAAGTCTTATGCACCAATTAATCTATAGATCAATTATCATTAAGGGAAAAAATTGCATGGATATTTGAAATAATGATTAATCATTACGAAGATTCGAATTGCACAAAATTTAAAGATGAATTATTAAAGTACGTTGAAACAGGAATAAATTCGGATAATATATATGAAAAATTATTAGCCTATTAGGCAATTAATCTATACAAAAGATAAATAATAAAATAGAAGGCATCAAACTCTTCGTTGAGATTGTTAGAATAAAATTATCAAGATGAATGCTACAATAAAGACACATCACTTTTTATTATTACTAATTAAGAACCATTCTCAAGAAACAGCACAAATATTTCATCCTTAGCAATAAGTTCGAAAAAAGTTGAGTCATAAATAGCAAATTTGATAAAGTTGAAGAAAAATCTTGAGAATTAAAATTCGTAAAATTCTCTAGTTGTCGATTCTCAAACAATTATCATGATTAAAGGTGTAATCTAAATGTTATAAATTTCGGTACAATTAATTGATAATTAATTGTTGATTATTTCTTAGAATGCAACATCTGCAGAAAATTAAGAGCAAGTAACAAAGATATCTGAAATGCTAATTTAATTAATTAATAATGTTACCATGCATATAAGTGACAATGTCGAAGTAAATGGTAGGGTTTTGTTAATTTAAGGACTGATATTGAAATTGTAATTTTAATAACTTACAAAACCTAAATATAATTAAGAGTTTTAATTACAGAACGATTACTTAGATAATTTAATTGCATACATATAGAAGTAATAATTAATAGTAAATTATAATTATTATAATCTATCAGAAATCTACACAACTATGCTCCAAATTTACTTAAATAGATCAGATTTTGAGATTGATTAAAATCATTTAGTGAAAACAATTTTAACTAATTCTCTTTATACTAATAATTAAATTAATCAGCTTGAATTAAATACTTATTATAGAATTGACTTGGCTGAATTTCGATATTGTTAAAGTTCGTAAGAGACTTCTATAATTTTTGAATATAATTATTATTGCATTAATCACTTAACGGCAAATAAATTTGAAAAATGCGATTTAGAAATGGAAGAAATTGATAATCAAAAAACTCAACTCTTTTGTAAATGTAAAGCAATAGGAAATTTATTTTTGATAAAAATTGCCAATAAAACTATGACTTAATAAAATAATACATCGGTGAATTAAACATAATTTGATTTGAAGTAAATGAAATTATTAAAGCAACCTTATTTATTTGTCTAGGTTGTGTTTATTATGTCTTCTTTTATTGTTTACTGTTTCCTATTTTATAAAGAAAATCAAAGAGATAAGGAAATTGCAAAGGAACAGAGTTAAAGTGGAACGTAAGATACATTAGAAAAAGGTTAGAAAGTTTTTGGAAGAAAATATTATCCAGGTCATGTGTTTATATTTAAAGCATCTTTCAAAGTAAGTTACTTTATTATAAAAATAGTACATCCATTCAATTTTGTAATTTTTTTAAGTTGACGAAAACAAAGTGAATAAAAGCTTTAGATTCCTTCAATTTAGTAATTAAATAAGCGTTTTAATATTAACATCCATTTGGGAAGTTTTAGTCCCGAATTTCGTAATTATCAATGCATCAATCAACCTTCTTGTTTTGTTAGGTTTTAGAGCAATTTCAAAGATATTTCAAACGATTTATTTGTTTAAAGGCAAAATTTCTATAGCAGTGGTTCTACTGTATTTCTGCCTTCCTTTTATGTATGTATTCCTTACAATTTTTCTATTTAATTAAAAGTATGTTATTATTTAATATTAGTGAAATTAATTAGACTGGCATAGATGTTTAAATAACTTTAAATCTATTGAGTACCTTATTTTTAGTTTTTTTCATTTATGAGCCAATAGCTATTTATCTAAGAATAGTTATATACAAAACTTTTATGGAAAGTGTTAAAAATAATGAATATATTCCAATCAACCATTTTGTTTATTTCTTTATCTATCACAGTAAAATAAATAATATTTACGATTAATTAAATATTAGATGAAAGTTTATTAATATATGATAAAAATTTGAAAAATCTATTATAAAATTAATTTTGAAAACAAATTTTATTCTCTAACTAATTTATTTCAATATGATATTTTCATAATTCTTTAGCTAGATTAGGTATTAAGACATAAAAACATAAAAAGCATATTTAGTTTCAGTCTTCAATATTAACTTAAGTTATTTTAAGTTGAGAAAATGGAGTCATCTCATTTTTCTAAGCACTTTGATTTTTTTCTAGTTTTATAACACCATTTTATAAATATGCCAAATTTCAAGATTATGGATAATATTTTAATTAGATTTATATCTACTCATTTAAGTCATATTTATTCTAATCTGCTCTTCCAGAGACCAAAAGACCTAACTTTCTGGATTAAACTCATAATTCATATAGTACAATTTTATTTGCACAATAAGTTGAACTCAAGAAGAGGTCTATAAACTACAAAGCCCAACGGATCAATTTTTTTAATTTCATTGCAAAATATATTATAATAATTGAAAATATAATTTGATTAAATTTATTAATTCATAGGTAAGAATTATTAAATATCAGATATATAGAGAATAATTTAAAAATCTACTTTAACATTAAAAAATAACATCATTTATAGATAAAATCCAAAAATAATAAATTCTTAAGTTAATCAATTGATAAATTTTTAGACATAATTGATCAAAATCATTTGTACAATGTGATATGAAATAGAAAATTTTTCCAATGTTGGAAAGTTCAAGAAGAATAGCAATGATAGAAAAACTTAAATATTCTGGTAATCTCGTCATAGTAAGATTTTTGATTCTATAAAACATTTGCTTTCTTAATAAGCATTTTAGTATATCATTAACATTTTTTTATTTATCTATTTCAAAATAAATTAGTAGTAATTTAACTAATCTAACAAAGAATAATTTTAGGTTTTTAGATGACTCAGTTATAATTATTAAATATTTCTAATAATAAACAGTAATTTGTATCTCCCCCCAATTTATAGCCCTTTAAATACCATGTTAACTTGGAATTATTCTACTCTCATTTCTACTCATACTAGTAACTTCATATTAGAATGAGAAATTACCATTTATTTAATATTTTCCTTACAATATTGGTTACATCCTAAACTTCTATAATTTGTAGCCATGAAACTATTTAAGAATATGATTCCTATAAAAAAATTATTAAGAAGATGAATAATCCATTTATCTAAAATATTCTTACTTTATCAAGATGAAGAGAAAAATTTGTTAAAAAATAACAATTTATAAGGAATTAGATCTTATAGTAAAAAAGAATAATATCATAATAATCCTAATATCAATTAAAACCACTCACGATTCTTGGATTAAAAGCATATAAGATTAAAAAACTGCTTTTGGAATGAAGTAATATTTCATTTGCTCCAAACTTAATGTTATGTTGATTATTACTTAGAATAAGAATGAAAGCAGGATTAGTTTTTACATATTGTATACTAAAAATGCGTAGGCGATGATGCAGTTTTTACCTTGTTTAACAGCTCATAGAATTAGCTGAAAAGTAATGTATTTTAGAGGATAAGGGCAAATAATTAAGTGAGCTTCTAGAGGACCGATCAAAGTTGTTGATTGTTGTAGCACTAGACTGGACCGTCATGTAGTCGCTAATATTCAAATTATTCAGAACTGCAATAACTTCGAACTCTTCCCATAAATAAATTCTAAGTAGATATAAGAAAAAATAAGAATTTAGATTTAGTTTTATTTGGTTGATACAAAAAAGCACATTTACCACTAAACTAATCAATCATTCTAAAATTTCAATTTATTTAGGAATATTTATAATATGGATGTTTGAGAGAATCAAAAAATTAGCTTACCTAATAAAGGATTATTGCCATAATTTATTTTAATCCTTCTTTGGAAAAATATGATTTGATACAAATAACTTTGTATTTTTTGATCATAAATAACATAAGGGAATATAAAGCGTATTAATAAATAGAAGACTCACTTTTTAAAAGGCAGTATAAATGTATTGAAAAATAAAGGATTTATGATAGCCTTCTAACTGCTTACATTTAAATGGCTGGTTATTTATTATTAGATAGACTAGAGATGGTAGATCCAATGTAATAAAACAAGAGAGAGAGAGGATTAAGATTTAAGAATAGCTGGAAAATATTTAGGGAAAAAGAGCTGATATGTCAGAAAGTAAACTTTGAACTTAGGAATTTGGAAGTGGAAGGTCTATTGATCCCATAATAGTTGGATACGGGATAACATAGAGGTTTGAAATAGTTAAAGAGGGAGATGACGATAAAGTGATTGTATCAGCAATGCCCTCATCACTTTCCACACTCATGATCAGAGGAATTTAGGAGGCAATTCCCCAGAATGCTCATCCTAAATCATTAAGAAATATTGTAAATTTAACATTGATAACTCTTTCCAATACTGCCTATAGGACTATATGATCTCCATTATGTAAAATTTTCAAAAGACTTTATTGTCATATTTCAAGGTTTTTCCTGATTGAAATCCTTAAATTTTCATAACCATACATGTATATAATTAAATTTTTTAAAGTAGCTAGAAAAAGGCTGAAAAATATACAAATTTTCCATTGAATTAGTGAGCAGTTTTGTTATATTCATTTTCTATGCTGCATTAAATCAAATAAGAAAATTTTAATTTTCTCTTGGTTTTGTTATTAATAGAAAATTTTAGAAGTCTAAAAAATTGTTTTATAAATATTTTTCTATTTTTAATATTG